GGGGGGGGGGGGGCTTCCTCTGAAAGGGCTCAAAACTGTGTGTGTTTCCATTCTCTTTCTCTAAGTCTTTTTCAAAGCCTGTTGAATTCATCGCCCACAATAGCTGCTAGGCCGTTTGATTGTTGTTAAGTCCCTTAGATAAAGTATCAAACAAGAGACCTAGAGGAACTGGGGGGGCTGCACTCGGATTTGGAGCGTGCTTTTGGAGGTGCACTGCTTCTCCGTCTCTGCGTGACATCGGGGCCCCCCTGTTGGTTTCATCCATGTTGGGGGCATGGCCTGTTGTAAGGAGGAGCCAGGACGAAAGGCTACCAAGCTAGCTGGTTCATGGAGGCAGGCTGCAGTCAGACAAAAGCTGCATGGGGCGCATCATACCGGGGGGGGGGTGAGGCTAGGCTAATCCACCCAGCCATCTACTACAACGCTACCATTTGTTTTATTACTTCGTCTCATTTTCAATCAGTCGTCTCTCTGCTTTTCTCTGTCACCGGGTCACTTGCCTTCTCTCATTCTGCTTATCCCCCCCTTCATCTCTGTCACCTGCTCACTGACTTCCTCTCTCTCCCTCAATTACGACTGACATGAAGTAAGGGAGGAGAACATGTAGAGCTGTGGGCTGCGACTTCAGTTACACCCTCTGAGCCCTCTGTGCCGAGGGAAACACGGTCACTGAACAACTGAACTGTAAAGAATATGGAGAGGAGGAGATGCAGGAAGGTCACACCTTCATCACAGACGAGACGAAAAGCTACCAGCACAGCAGCTGTCTGCATGTCAGGGTTGCATAGACAGGGAAGTGTGTGTGTGTGTGTGTGTGTGTGTGTGTGTGTGTGTGTGTGTGTGTGTGTGTGTGTGTGTTGAGGTATGTGTGTGTGTGTGTGTGTGTGTGTGTGTGTGTGTGTGTGTGTGTGTGTGTGTGTGTGTGTGTGTGTGTGTGTGTGTGTGTGTGTGTGTGTGTGTGTGTGTGTGTGTTGCATATGTGGCTCTGTTTAAGAGGGATAATGCCTGTGAAATATATGTGTAGAGGCTTCATACATCTTTTAGGGAAGCAAAATATGTGTTTAAGAAGTGAACAACAAATGCAAATAGTAGTTTACTGTGTGTGTTTTTGTGTGAGTGTGCCTCTGCCATTTCAGAGTTTATATAAGAACATGATCAAGTTGGCTGTCCCTGCAGTGACTCATCTTGTAGAAAGCCACTTACTGTCGCATCAAAAAAGTAGGAAAAATAAATAAGAAGAAGCCAAATGAAAACTTCAAAGTATCTGATAACAAACCATGGTAAAAGAACTAAGAGGCCTGCGTTCACCTCCTTCCTGCTTCCACTCTTCCCCTCTCCTTTTCTTGCTCTCACCTGTGAAAAAGCTCTGATTAACAGCCCAGATCTGTGACCTTAATTTGCACCCCGTCTTCACGGAGTAACATGTTTCTTTCATCCCCGAGCGCTTTCAGGAAGGTGCAGCGGGGTCTGGTTGGTCTGCCACTCATTCTCTGTCATTCAGATGCTGTTGCCTCCCTCGTCATACTGAATATAAATCCCTGCTGTCACTGAAAATGATATATTGAAAAACACTGGGCTTAAGGACATGGGGAGGTTGCGTAGAGCGTGAACTTGAAGGTATGGAGATGAGAGAGCAGGGCTATATAATGAATAGAGTGGTAATTGGCCTGCAGTATGATCATTTGTATGTGAGCAATGTGAGGAGTTAGTGAATGAACATCAAGAGTGTTCTCAGTGATACTTTGACATTTTCAACATCGTCCAATTTTTCATGTTTGATCTTGGTTTAAGTCACCAATAGCAGTCATAATTCATACGGCCTATTCATACCACCTTGGATTGGGACCCTAGCCCATACTTGCCAACCTTGAGACCTCAGGAATTGGGAGCATTTCAAAACCACCGCGGGGGGTGGGGGGTGTGTGTGCTAGTGGATCGCCGGAGTTGTATTGGATTAGCATTAACATGCTTATTGCCGTTGTAAGTGCACTGTCTTGATGGAGCATATGTGTGGGCAGGAAAGGAGTGAGCAGAGGGTAGAGTTGTCGATTGTTGTTTAGTTTTCTGTGACTATCTTCCTCACCCTCTCAGACTTTCAGTTGCGCGCGCTGCTAAAGAACCGTGCTACCATGGAAACCAAACAATGGTGTAGCTGTATTAAAGTCTGAGTGGAAACAGTCCTGAGTAAATCAGATTTTGTCGTAAATCGGGAGAAATATGACCCCGGGAGGAAACCGGGAGAGGGCTATGAAATCGGGAGTCTCCCGCGAAAAATCGGGAGGGTTGACAAGTATGCCCCTCGTATCTTCTCCCAGTGTATAACTTGCTCATGCTGGCCTACCCGGTGTTGGAGAAGCAGTTCCACAGGCCCTGTCCGTGGCTCCACAGCAGCCGGTTGAAGACACGGTTAAAGAGCCGGTAGAGGTGGAGACTGTCTACATCAGGCTCCCTCCAGATCCGCTGCAGCGCTGAGCGGACATTGGTACGGACAATATCCAAGACCTGAGAGAGATAGTGATAGTGATATGTGGGAGAGGAAATGAGAGAGAAAAGAACGCTTTAAATCAAGCATGCGATAATGAAGGAAATGAATGCTGCGACACAAAAGGTGACAGCGTTTCTATTTGATATGCGTGAGTTGGCATTTGCTCCAACCGTAAGATTTTTCGGTTAAAATGAGCAATCAAAGAGGCTAATGCATTCACTCAGTAACAGAGAGCAAAGGTGCAGTAATGAATAAACAAGCGCACAGTACACTTCACACCAACACATATAGTATGTTATGCACATAATGTTTTCCCTGAACACATCCTGAAACTACTTTAATCAGACCTTATGTAGTGAGGAATTGAGGAGGGTTATCCTGCTCAACTCCTCACTACATGTCTAAAGCATGCTCAGACATACAGCTTATGTGAACTGTGTGTGTTAGTGTGTGTGGTCGAAGCAAGACACAAAGTGCTGTGGCAGACAGTGGAGAGGACTAATTGCTGCAGCGACGTCAGTCTTGGAGAGAAGGTGTCAGAAGTTCCCCAGCGGTCTGAGGACACCTGCGCCAGTCTTCCATCCTCCCTCCTTCCTTCCTTTCCCCACATCCCTACCCTCCTCACTGCCTTCTCTTCCTCCCTTTTCCTTCTCTTTTCACCCAGCTCAGAGTGCAGCGCTGTGGCTCTTTTGACTTTGATTCCTCGCTCCTCATTACTGACGTGCCCGTCTCACTGTGTGTGCGTGCATGTGTTTGCGATGCGGAGAGGCGAGGTTTCCCTGCAGCAATATGAGGCGAGCGAGTCACACGCATACACACTCAGGACAAACTGATAGATGAGTAAACACACACACAGATATGTTTTGGTATGGTAATCAGATGGCAGAGCGGTGGGTGCTGCATTCCTGACCTCTGCCTGCTGCTCATTAGGCTGCTCCACTCCAAATAAAACATCGGCTCGCAGCGCCACAGCCCACAACACAGTGGTGCAGAAAGCAGTGGCTGAGAGATCACATCATTACTGACACGCCCAACGGATGCCTTTTCACGTCTTGCCCCGTCTTCTGTTTTGTTTACATCCTTTTTGGTGTCTCTCTCCCTGTCACTGTCTGACATGATAATGATCTTCATGCTTGTCTTTTTTTTCCCCCTTTGTCTGAAGTTTGATTCGCTGATTATTTTCCTATTTTAAAAGTTCTTCAAAAGCATTCAAAGGAATAGGTAGGAGCTGTGACATTTTGTCATTTCACCGGGTTTTAACAATGTCCATTCTATACACAGTGACAGTAAGTATAGACTGGGTGGGAGCAAGGACGAAGGCGGCGGACTTATACAGGTGTCAAAAGATGAATGTGGCCCATTGTTTAGACTATAAGACGTATGAATAAATGAAGCATGATTTCGGAATCTACCAGGTATTAATTGCTAATAGTTATTGTCTTCTCATCAATTGTCTGTCTTTGTTTATTGGGGTCAGCCTAGGAAGCAGTGACCCCTTTTCTAGCTTCTAGCAAAAATTGTTTAGAAAGGTTGAATACAATTGTGTGGCGTTGAGCGTATCTTGAAGTTGTTCAGGATTCTGAAGTATTCTGCTGAGCATCTATAGCTACTGAAGACCTGAAGCGAGAAATATCTTCCAATTCTCTGGAAAGGCAAAGGAATCTTTAGGTGTCATTAAGGCATAGGACTAACCTTCCGTTGTTTAGTAGAGTCCAGCTTCACCAGCCAATAGGAAGCCACCTTTGACTTATGGTATTTCCAGTTGTCGTGCACCTATGGAAGAAAAGTTGAAATAAAAAAGTCAAAGAAGTATCCTTTAAACAAGTAGGACAATAAAGCAACACATTTAAAAAAATTGTTTTCATTTTTAAGGTATCATTTTAGCAAAAAACAAATATTGCAATATTTTGCTCTAAAACCCAGGGTTACTACAGTAAATCATCCAGCGAGGAAAACACCTGCCAAGATGGAGCCCAGTTTAACTCTAGTTCTTTCTTTTAGTGTGTGATCAGGAATGTACAAAGACTGGAGCTCATTCCCACCGTCACACATTCCTCCTGGCAGACCTTCTTTCACACTTAGGCACGGGATCACTGCCGGGTTTTTAGCTTCTGTCTAGTGATGTTTTTTTGGTTTTCACACATACATATCCATTATAGAAAAGTTCCAGGTTCAAACATGACAGTGCCATTACGGACAGCGCTGCAATGCTCGTGTGATATTCTGAATCTTGCACATGATACTAGGTAACACATTTCAATTTCAATCTTTATTTCAAACAGATTAAAAAAATACAAAATACAAAATAACAAATGTGAAAAACAGAATACCGTATTGTTAAAATACAGTATTTATCCACATTCATGATAATATTTATATATTCAACAAAAAAAAGTCTTCATATTAATAACAATAATAAATCATTATTATACACAGGAAATATAATGCAAGAGGGGAGAGATTGTTTACAGCACATATTAACGGTGTGTTGTTATTGTGTCTGCAGAGTCAGCTTCAAGTCAGTTTGACAAAACAATTGTCAATTCCATCTTCTCTTCAGTGTCAAATCTCCTGCTTCACAAAAAACTCCATAGGTAAGGAGGACTTTTAAATGTTAAGTTGTTCATGCTTTTACTAGAACAAGACTACTTTTCTTTACTTCAAAACCTGTTAAAGAATTCAAATTGTATTTAGCTTAAAGTAAGTGGCCTGCTAAATAGATTTTTTTTAATAAATAAAAACAATTTAAGTATTTACAAGATGCATTGCTTTTCTGTAGAAGACTCTTGCGGTACTTTTTTGTATCACAACAGAGGGATAATAGAATGATTGAGTCGTGATTTTGGGTTCTTGAGCAGAAACACCCAATGTTTTGCGGGTGTGTCGAAAATCCTTGGGTTTTGTATCATTATGCTCAAAAGCTGTGCTGGATATTCCCTTGCACTTGCTCCTGGTGTCAACATCACTGTGTACCTACAGGCACTGTTATTGTTGCTCTGTTGACTAAGTCTACATATCCCCACTGGTGCACATAAACCTCTCACATATCACGTGGATCCCCTGCAAACAGTGCTCCCATTGGGAGGCTCCAGTGTAAACTTTATGTTTACTCACACACACACACACACAAACAGTGACGCATGCATAAAAACAATCCACAAGGATTCACAGATGCAGATCTAGGTATACAGTAAACAATTTTGTTCGCTTTCCAAGAAGTTAGTTGTTTGTTGTTTCGTGTTCTCTCTTATTAAGAACCTTATGAACCATCTGGTCCGATGTACACCAATTTGTCACGTTTGTGTTTGATGTACATAAATTAGCCTCAGTAAAGCAAAACAAATCCCACTTCATACATTTCACCTGCCAATGGTTTTGATTGAAAGATAAAGGAGCAAATTAATCCAATAAAAACATATCATTAGCCCAATTGCGCCTCCATTTTAAGAGGGAAACATAATTTGCCAAAGATTGTTTTTCTGCCAGGTGAGCGCACTTTGTTTCTCACGATGCAAAACCTGAATAGTACAGGTGCAGTTGCTCATCTGCGTTTCCATGGTGCTCTCATTAGAGTTTGTTAACAGTACAGATGTGCTGATAATTGTCTCATGACCTCAACACATCCAGATGTCACACACACATAAACAGATTTAGCTGTTCTTGTGATGGGAATGTATGGCCTCACATTAATTACATGGGGGCTTGCCCTTACCTAACCAAAATCATTACAACCACATGCTTTCCCTTAACCCTTAAATGATCTTACAGATGCCTGATTTGTATTATGTATTGTATTGTCCCCTGTTGTGGCATTAGGTTAGGTTAGGTTGCCATATTACTATTATTATTATTATTATTTATGTTTAAAAGGTTGCAATGGTTCAGTGCTATACATTTCACATAAGAATGTAAAAGCTGAACCATAAACATTGATAATGCAAAGCATCAGTCACATCGCTGCTCTTAAAAAAAGAAAACATGCATGGGATTCATTGCACATACTGTAGATAAACGGATTTCCACTCGGCCTATATTTATTGGATTGTTTCCATGGTAGAGAAGGACCACTGACCTTACACCAGTATATAATATCTACAAAAACTTTAAATATTTTAGACAAAACAACATCTAGATTAAACTATGAAGTCAACATGCAATGTTGTTGACTAAAAAAACCCTTTTTAAAAATGTAGTAAAAAATATTAAATCTTTAAAAAACTAAATTCTTATCTCGAAAATTCTTGTCTTGAAAAAACAGCTTTTGTTTTACTCCTGTATGGTTCTCATGTAGCCAACTAAGGAACTCTTTGTCCTTTGAACATGTTGTTGTGATGGTCTTTCTGTCATTAGTCAGCGATGAAGACAGTCTGACCGGCTGCTGTCCTTTCAGCACCGTGGGACTGTGGTGCTGAAAGGACAGCTGGTTCTGAGGACAGTGACGGCCATAAATGAGGTCAGAGTGGACCGGACAGACGCTTCAATTGTCGGCTAATTTTCTCACGCTGCGCTGTTACTCCCGGTGTGAGTCAAAGGTGAGCCCCTGCCGCTGTGTGGATTTATGACTTATTTATTGCTTTGACAAAATGCGATATCCATTTCCTTTTTTTCTTGTTTTACATTTTTCATAAACAAAAATACACAACTTCAGATAATTTATTCATTAACTGTGTATGGCTTGTCATAAAGAAACACATAGTTATGGTAATTGGAGGTATAGCTACTAATAGTACTTAGTTAACTAATAGGTGCTCTGGAATTCTTGGGTAAACTGTTATAATAGTATATACTTAATAAAGATCATCTACATCCATTAACCTGGGATTTTACTGTCCACTTAAACAGTTTTTCTAATTATTTTAGATGCGCATCTTTACAAAACGTAGATTTAAGCAATGGCTTGAGCATTAGCACAAACACACAATTACAAAGACTGGTTCAGATGGAAGGACACAGAGATCTGAGCAGAAATAGAGGATCCACTGATTAATACAAAGGGGCAATGGGGAATAGCACGGGGCTCCAAACTGACCGACAAGTTGTCACTGGGGTCGTTTGAAAGACAATGGGAGCTAAGCCAGAGCGGCAGGCTATTGTAGAGGGAGGCAAGGAGGTCACTTTTAGTTAGACTGCAGAATGACCGCACCTGGCCGCCGAGGGGGCTTTGGGAATACAGTGGATCCAGATTGCTGTTCACCGCTTGTACTCCATGTTCACTCCCACTCTAGCTGTCCTTGTTAAGTTCAGTCTTACTTTACTTTGTTCCATTTTCACACCCTGTTACTGCCTCTGAATCATTGTGACACACTGAAACATGTAGATTATCATATTGTATAAGGTAGTGAACACAGAAATAAATTATAAATAGTGCACACACCTCATCCAGCACAGCCTCAGCCTCCTCCTCGGTTTTTCCCGGAAACCTGATCCTCATGGCGGTGAGCGCGGCCAGAGTCTGACGCACCAGCTCGGCCTCCTGCTCTTTACTCCTCAGGTTTATCAGTGGATCGCCCTACACACACACACACACACACACACGCATGCACACGCACACGCACACACACAGAGAGAGAGAGAACCCAATTCAGTGTCCTCCTGACACACAGTAATATTAAGCAAAAAGTCTCATTACAAAATATAGTATCACACCTACTGTATCCAAACATTTAATCTATCCCAATTGACGCAGAGGGCTCTTCCAAATCACCAAGGCACAACAGATTATAAAGCTGAATTCACATATTGTTTACACTATGAAACAATGTTAGGAGGGTGTGATGCTTTATTACTGGCTAATAACTAGCCAATATTATTAGTTATATCAGGCGTCATCGACAGACATTTTTGCCCTCTTAAATGTATTATCCTCCTGCCACCTCCTATAGTCCCAACTCATTATGACTTCTACAAGCAGTTGGCTCAGAGTGGTACACGCTTTGTTTAAAAATAACCTCATAATAAAAAAAAATGTTCTTCTATAGCACTTGCTCACTAGTCAACGTATACCCAATTTCAGATGTCCTGTACCAGCATGCCCTTATCCCCAGGGGTGTGATTCCCATAGAGAAGTCAGTATGAAAAGACAGTAAAAAAACAATGTAAGAAAGTTCTCCTGTCATTTTGTTTAAAAGTGAGTCAGGATACAAACGTACAACCAACACTCTGGACTTTCTCAGTACAAAGGTTTTCCAAGTATTTATATTCTTAATGTTAAAGAGGGTTTTCTACTCCGTGTTATTTTGTTCCACTTGACCAAAGGTTAGCAGAGTACTTGTATAGAAGGAGGGTGAATGGAGGAGGCAGGCGGAAAGCAACATGATAGAATAATACAGTACGCCTATACAGTATTGAAGGAGCTGCTTAACAGATTCCTACTGGGGCAGGCTACAATGTATGCAACAAAGGGGAAAAAGCAACAACGGTGAATGTGTGTGGATTCGGGGAGTAACTCTTGATTGTTCCCTTCAAACTATTTGGAGTAGTGGATCAGTTGAGGATTGCCTCCTTGAAAAATGTGACAGTTTGAATCTTTCAAAAATGAATTCTTACTTTTCTGTGACTGACAACTTATCTGACACGTTCTGAATTGTAAAGACTTCTTTGTGTGTCGCGTATCTTACGATGTTGGAGTGGATGGTCCCCAGGCTGTTGCTGTGAGGGACACGGTGGGCGGAGCCACTGCGGCTCAGCGAATGAGAGCGCAGCGTGGCGGAGCTCGGCCTGACGAGGGGCGTGGCCATGGGAACTGTGGGAGAAGGCCTGGAGGACAACGCCCGAACCTCATTGGGTGACGAGAGGGAGGCGATGGATCGAGGGCAGGAGATGGAGCGCCTGATTGGTCCAGAAAGTGTTGGGGAAGCTGAGGGGGTGGGGCTGGTTTTGTGTGACTTGATTGGAGGTTTCCAGTGCATGCGACCTGCAGAGAAACAGAAGTGTGGGGGAGGGAGGGGGGAGAGACACTGAATCACTGTCACACTTCAAATTATTTTCTTCCCTGATCCTGTCTCAATGCCACTGTCAAGCTCTTCTCCTCACTGTTTTCCATCCGTTGCCTGGTGGCTTTGGAGATTAAGTGTGGCTTTAAGACTCCCATTGCAGCGCTATGGCACACTGGCCCAGTGGCGTGTGTGTGTTTTTCTGCGTGTGTGGGTGTGTGTTATTTAATGACCACAGCATACATGTGTGTAGTCAAAACCAGAAACTAAACAGTAGTTCTGTCTGGTTTGGGGATGGATTAAAGAGCAGCTCTCTCTCAGACAAACACATGAACACACGCAAATGCACACACACAAACACACAAGAAATAAAGCTACAAATCTGCACTAGCACTCTCCGTTACCCTTGAAATTGCCAACCAGCATATTAAAGTGTGTTTCCGGGCAGTGTGTGTGCGTGTCTAACATCGCAGTGCGCAGACAAGTGTGTGTGTGTGTGTGTGTGTGTGTGTGTGTGTGTGTGTGTGTGTGTGTGTGTGTGTGTGTGTGTGTGTGTGTGTGTGTGTGTGTGTGTGTGTGCGTGTGCGCGTGTGCGTGTGCGTGCACGCGCGCGCGCGCATGGCTGCTGAACCTTCTGAGGTTTGGATATTTTTTGCCAAATGAGAGCATTATGGGGCTTAGTCCGAGCAGCCCTTTGGTGGCTTGGTATGGAGTAGGGCTTGGCAGAGATGCCGTCTCCTTTACGCACATACACACACACAAACACACACACACACACACACACACACACAGATCCAAAACTTAGGTTTTTCCAATGGCTTTGTCCTTTATTTAGTGACCAATAGAATGAGCTCATGCAAGGGTATGTTCTATTGAGGAGTATAACTGTCGGCCCACAATGCAACTGAAGATTTCTTTCCAAGGTCGCCATATAAGGCTTCTGTGAAAGGTACCCTGTCTCTCACTTCAGAGAGGCAAACGTGAGTTGATGTTTGTGACCTATACGAATTGGTGTGAATGTGTAAGACTTATCCCTCTCACTATAAAACTAGGAATATTTCAGCATTAAACTCAAGGAGATCTCAAGGTAAACAATATAATGTGTCTTTTTCCTTTTTTTCTCCTTTTCCCTTTGAATCCAATTCCTCTTCTCTGGCGTCACCCTTCATTAATTGGAAATGAACTGTTCAGGGCACCTTTCTTTACTCAAGTGCTTTCCAATGCTTCTGTGTGTGTGTGTGTGTGTGTGTGTGTGTGTGTGTGTGTGTGTGTGTGTGTGTGTGTGTGTGTGTGTGTGTGTGTGTGTGTGTGTGTGTGTGTGTGAGAGAGAGAGTGTGCATAGATACTCAGCAACAAAGCGCCACTTATGAGTTGCAGACTGCGATGTCTTTACTTTAAATCCAAGGACCTTTTAACATTGTATCACAAAAATCAGGCACATACAGTGGGGCAAAAAAGTATTTAGTCAGCCACCAATTGTGCAAGTTCTCCCACTTAAAAAGATGAGAGAGGCCTGTAATTTAGGTCCTGAGGTATACCTCAACTATGAGAGACAAAATGGGGTGGAAAGAATCCGGGAAATCACATTGTAGGATTTTTAATTAATTAATTGGTAAATTCCTCGGTAAAATAAGTATTTGGTCACCTACAAACAAACAAGATTTCTGGCTCTCACAGACCTGTAACTTCTTCTTTAAGAGCCTCCTCTGTCCTCCACTTGTTAACTGTATTAATGGCACCTGTTTGAACTCGTTATCAGTATAAAAGACACCTGTCCACAACCTCAAACAGTCACACTCCAAACTCCACTATGGCCAAGACCAAAGAGCTGTCAAAGGACACCAGAAACAAAATTGTAGACCTGCACCAGGCTGGGAAGACTGAATCTGCAATAGGTAAGCAGCTTGGTGTGAAGAAATCAACTGTGGGAGCAATTATTAGAAAATGNCAAAGGGACCAGGACGACTGATCCGTGTAAAGGAAAGAATGAATGGGGCCATGTATCGTGAGATTTTGAGTGACAACCTCCTTCCATCAGCAAGGGCATTGAAGATGAAACGTGGCTGGGTCTTTCAGCATGACAATGATCCCAAACACACCGCCTGGGCAACGAAGGAATGGCTTCGTAAGAAGCATTTCAAGGTCCTGGAGTGGCCTAGCCAGTCTCCAGATCTCAACCCCATAGAAAATCTTTGGAGGGAGTTGAAAGTCCGTGTTGCCCAGCGACAGCCCCAAAACATCACTGCTCTCGAGGAGATCTGCATGGAGGAATGGGCCAGAATACCAGCAACAGTGTGTGAAAACCTTGTGAAGACTTACAGAAAACGTTTGACCTCTGTCATTGCCAACAAAGGGTATATAACAAAGTATTGAGATGAACTTTTGTTTTTGACCAAATACTTATTTTCTACCATCATTTGCAAATAAATTCTTTAAAAATCAGACAATGTGATTTTCTGTTTTTTTTCATTTTGTCTCATAGTTGAGGTATACCTAGGATGAAAATTACAGGCCTCTCATCTTTTTAAGTGGGAGAACTTGCACAATTGGTGGCTGACTAAATACCTTTTTGCCCCACTGTACAACTACTGCAGCTTTTGTAGGAACAAACCTACTTCAACAGCTTCCACCCACTTGCAAGCTGGTTTCAGAAAGTTATTGGGCGTCCTTTCAACAGGGGAATCTTTGATACATAGATACCTTTTTGTGGAGATGTCAATCAAAGATCAGGCATACAACTGGCCGAGGTATGTTCAACACAAAAATGTGGCTCTCAGTAAATGTAGAAAGCAAGAAAGATGATTAGAACAAAGGAAAATCGATTTAATGTTTGCCGACTCATGATCATGAGTATATACTGGATTGTCAGTGACAGTGTGAGATACCAATCTCGTCAATCTTTTAAAATAAATGATGTTAATGAATTCAAATATGATATTCAGCAGACGAGGGAAGAATTTAAAATGATTTGAGTTTCTTGACAGACTTTAGGTGGGTTTGTTTGTGCCCTTCAGCTTCGTTATTGTTATCATTTTCCTCCCACATGTTCCTATTTGAGCTCTAGACAAAACTAATATTCATACTCCATTCTCTGACTGTGGAGACTCAAAAACTACTTTATTTATAACCTGCACAAGTTTGAATGCTTTTGTTGCAAATAGAGTACTTCTAAAAGATCTTCCAGTTCCCAATTCAAGGCCTGATATTGTTAAAATCAGTATTTAGCCTCAACATTGAACATGTTTTCGATAACCTTAGGCTACACTTTCTGTACTCCAACACAACAAACTCTTCCTGGCACTCCTCACTCCAACTTTTTTTCTTCCGGCCACAATTCACCTCTTGGTAGATTTAAGCTTCTGCCAAATACCAATATGTTTTTTTTTACATCTAGAAAAAAACTTTGAAAGTTTACTTTAAACTTTGTAGCTAAACGTACCCATCTTTAGGTCTCTATCTGTAAACACAACAGTTAATGATCTCATAATAAACCAAACCTCTAATTTTGTGCACCGGTCAGTCAAAGTGCTTTAGACTATAACCCTGGTGGGATCCACAAGTCATCTTGTGACGTGCATTGCTTGTTTGGCTGGTTCTTCCTGTTGCAAGGGGCCAGAGGTCATTTGCCAGCCTTCCATATCTGTCAAGTCTGACTGACATTGTACCCGCTAGACTCGTGTTTGCTGCCTTTGTTGCGGTCTCAGGGCCGTGAATTGAAAATTGGCATGGATTGTCACACTATCAAAGAAAATAAAGCATGTTTTGTTATCCCAGGGATAACATGCTGACACACGGCACAGCCAGGCTTCATGACTGTTACACTTGCTTCTACAGGGTTTGCATCACCCTTCTCCCCTCTTCCATTACAGCTTGGTTGAGAGGTATGCATCAAATTGTTAGTTCTGTTCTTAGCTTTCTATGTTTCCCGCCTGGCTCAGTTGATGTATTCCCATTCCTCTATTTTGCTCTCATAGATAATGGAAATACAAATAAAAATGCAGGTGCATGCTCAGCTGGCCTGTGGCTATGCCAATATGATAAAATAGCAGCAGTACACAAACTGCTAATGTTGTGTGGAAGCAGTTCAAAGTCAGTGCAGATCCTATCAAAGTGGTCTTCAAGCTCTGGAAATGCACATTAAGCAGAGGGATACAAACAGTCTTTAAAGGGCTGTTGGTAGTCTGGTTTAAAGAAGAGTTCATAGTTTTACATTTATTTTCAAATGGATTTTATGTTATCACAAATCTAGAAGTAGTTTTGGACAGCTCAAAATGAACTTCAATCATTTGATGGTTAAGAGAAAAATGGGTGGGAACCATGAGCTGCACATTAGCTGCTAATTATGTTGCACAGCACGCAGAATTAAAAACACATGATTACTGATGCACATGGCCTGAAAGGGTCGGTTTTATCCTGCGCACTGCATTTGAACCTGGAGTTCCAGTACAACCAGCCACTCACAGACACAAATTAAAGAAATAACCCTACAGCACGATGTACATGCCACTAAAGTAATAACTCCTGCTCTTGTAACACAAGCCACCTACGTACATGCAATGAGTGTAGGAAGTGCGTTTTTGCAGCTGTTGTTTGTTATGCAAGAATCTTGTGGAAAAATTGGAACATATTATTTTCTGCTGAACAGTGGGAGTAGAGGTGTCACAGTCTATCCTCTCTCCATCAAGTCTATCTCTCTTGCTTTGAAGAAGAAATGAGAGGGGTCCTTAGGGCTTTTCTTTATTTGTCTAAAGGAATAAGCCCATTTCTTCTGGCTCAGGGGTATGTGTACATTATTAGCTTTTTTTACAATGGAGGAAGTGCATTCCTAACCACAGAAATGGACGAGACAGCGTCATCTGTCAAACAGCCAAGACATATGAAGTCGGAGAATGTCAGGATGAGAAATAAATGAATGCCTTTTCAACAAACAAAAAAGATAGAAAGCTTTCTGGACAGGACTACACACTTGGTCCTCCAGTGCCAAAAAAGTACTTTGTGGACAGTGTAGTTTATGAGCTGACATGTACAAAGACTGTTGAAAAAGAAGTTTAACAGGCTGCTACATATTATGAATGCAGACATGCTGGGCATAAAATGTTTAATTTACAAGTGATCATTAAAAATGATGGAGCCAGAGATCGCAAAATAAGAGCCGATCTATAGAGGAGCATCATTAGATGTAGACTCACTCTGTTGGAAACACTTTAAGTTTAAAAAGAGAGAGAATAGCTTTCAGTTAAACTGTCATTTCTTTATACGTGTCAAGTTCTGTTTCTTCCATAGTGTATAGCATGTCAAAACATCCATGTAATCTGCTTTGGTGCAATTTTACAAGGTAATGGGCCTCCGGTGGTTTTAAACCACAGTGGGTGGGGAAGCTTTCACGTCGTAAAAGGTTATTAAATCAGCAGACTTTTACTTAAATAAAAATGACTCTAAATTCTTCAAAGCAAGGCAAAGTGCTGTTTTTAATTATCAAGTTAAATAAACATTAATATATCAAATGTTGGTTGTTAGCTCCTCAAGACTACTTTTTAAAAAGATTTAGTGCATCCTATCCTTACAATGAATGGTTCTTAATAATGTTTTATATTTCTCTCATACTCTCATACACACAAACAGGTATATACAAACTAAAAAGGCACACATTTACAAAAAGGCAAAAGTTCATAAAAAAAAAAAGAAAAGAAATGTCTGCGCCCAATGATGTTTACTTCAAGACTTCCAGACTTGTAAGAATGCCGCTGTACAAATATTCAGCACTTACACACCGACACAGAGAGCCTCGGGCACAGTGACCTATTCACGGACCCCAGAATGCAGCTTTATGGCTAAGCAGAGAGAAAACAATCACTTTTCATCTGTATTTGAGCGTCAAGTGGGAGCCTTTTATGTCCCGGCCGTGAAGCAACATTAATCATCTTTGCTTGCATTTCAGCTCCGGCCAAATGGCCAAGGCCCCAGTATATTGGCAATGGCCATGACGCTGCCTTTTCCAAATTCAGCTTCTATGAGCGCTGCCAAATAGCAAGGCATGTTCCGCCAGGGCCTTTTTTATAACCCCCAGATAAGGTGCATATGCCTGTGAAGTCTAACTTTTTCATCCCCCTTTTTTTAGATAATAATTGAAGTTTTTTTTTTTACCTCCCTCGCTTTGACTTCAAAGTAATTAGTGATATTATGAACCATCAAAGAATGTTAATTATTTCTTAATAGTGTTACACAAAGATGGAACTGACGGGTTAGTTCTTGCTGATGCTTGACGATGTATGTTCCTCATGTGACATAAATCATCACCTTTGACCTATTCTAATCGATCTTGTGTGTCTTGCGTTGGTGTTTAGGAGGAGGACATATTGGATCTGCTGGAGCAGTGCGAACTGGACGATGAGAAGCTGATGGGCAAAACCTCCAAGCAACGAGGCCCGAAGGTGGGTGAGAGTGTGAGGAAGACAGACTCCAAGAGGGAGGAGGGAGAGAAAGGGCCACATGTCTCAAGGGAACTAAGAAAAGTGCAAAGAGTGTCAGAGGGAGAGAAAGAGAGAGGGAGGGGGAGGCAGGTAGGCAGATGCCTGGAGCTAACACCCCCAGAAAGCATATAGGACGTGATTCAGGAAAATAAAGAAGGGGGTTGCAGGTTCGGCGAGAAAGAAAAGAATCAGAAAACGGCCCAAAGAAAAGAGCCAACTCCCCGAGGGGACAGCTGTCAGCCTGTCTCTCCCGCTCTCTCCCTACGTGCTATCTTTCTTTCTGTCCATCTCCCTCTTTTTCCCTCTCCCCCTCTGTCACATACACCTATACGCCCCCTCAATTTCCCACGACAGCACATTACTCCCTCCATCACCTTGCTTCACTCTTCACCTCTCCTTCCCTTTCTCTCCCTCTGCAAATCTACATCCATCCCTCACTTGAGGGCTAAATTGGCTGGAACACTCAAAGAGTGTGTTAGGGACTCGACAGGGCAGTTCAGTGCTGCATTAGAGAGGCCTTAGCCAGAATGAGGACTTGTTCAGACACAATCACTGTTGTCCAAATTAATTTGGCCCCCGTCAGTTTCGATGTTGCAGAGTGGGCTGTGAGAGACATTGAGAGCAGGGGGAAGAAAGAGCTGTGACGGATAGATTCACTCCTCTGGGTGTAGCGCTCGCAAGCCATCTGGTGAGAGTAAACCAGAGAGTTTGCGAGAGCTAGAAGAGAGGAGAGAGCCGGAGGGATTAGAGACCGGATTTTGAAGGAAGGAAGGGCCGCTAAGGTTTGCTATCGCTGAGGAAATGTTCAGACGCAGAGGACGAGTGGTAGATGGCAAGGGAGGCAGGAAATGAAATAGTGAGAGGGAGGAGAGACCCCTCAAGTATTATTTTTCTCTTTCTTAAGTTTTTATTAGATTGTCTTTTTAACTTTTGTCTTCCTTATTATGTAGAGCTGGACCAAGTGTTCAGATCTCTTACAAACGTACACATTAGTATTTGTACTTAGTGTACGAATATTATAGAATTGGGAGGGATGAAACCCTCTTTAATGGTCACACATGCAGAGCACAGCACACAGTGCAATTTGTTCTCTGCTTTTAATCCATCCTAGGACCAGGAATCTAGTACTAGAAGCAGTGGGCAGCTATTGTACAGCGCCCGGGGAGCAATGGGAGTGAGGGGGGAAGGGGGATGTCCGGTGCCTTGCTCAAGGGCACCACGGCAGGGCAGGAGGTGAACTAAGACCTCTCCAATTAGAAGTCCACACTCCATATTTAGGTCTGGTCGGGGACTTGAACCGGCGACCCTACGGCTCACAGTCCAAGCCCCTACTGACTGAGCCACTGCCGGACGAATATTATGATACAAGTAAAAGTCCTGCATTCAAAACCGAACTGAAGTAATTAGCATAAAAGATTAGTTAAAGTGGGCGGATGTTGGCTCAAATAAAGGCACTGGTTGCCCAAAAGCATCCTCAAAAAGGTTTAAGTAACAATTATAAAATGAGTCATCATTCAGATGAATATATATAAAGTTATTAAATCATTATATTGATGATGTAAAGTGTTTATCACACACTGAGCACATGTTGCAGCTGTTGGGATGAAATAAATGTGGAGGAGTAAAAAGTAGAATATTTAACACATTTAAAAGTACCAGGAAAGGGAAATACTCAAGTAAAGAACATGACATTTGTACTTTACTACATTTCTCAAGTAAATCGTCTTTCTAACTGTCCACCTCTGTAATTATGATTTGTACCTTATCACATGTGTTGCCCTTGGTATTGGCCTCTGCTGCCCCCCCCCTTCCTCCCCTGCTCACCATTGAGCTTGATTTACCCTCTCACTCATTCATCCTACATTTCTCTTTCTTTCTCCTCATCTGCTCGGTGTCTGCCTCTCTCTTTGTCTTTGCTCTCCACTGTTTATCCGCTGTGTGTTCCCGTCTCCTTTTCTCTCCCCACTCCGATGTACAGTGTCCTTTTTTCTCCCTCTGTGCTCATTTCCGTTCTCCCTGCTATTCAATGCCTCCTCTCTGTTGAATCTGTCAGATTTAACTCGTCCTCCTCTTTATTTCTCTCCCCATCAATCTGCTGTTCCCATCTTTCGCCTTTATACCCTTCTAATGTGTTTAATCTCTCTCTGTCTCTTTCATCCTCTCACACTCACAGCTACCCAGCGGTGACTGTGTAAGCCCTGTGATCACTTCCTGCCCATTCATTTGGGTGGCCTGACAGCCCTGCCCTAGCTAACCGTTGAATAACAGATGTATACATGCCTTATTAATCCTATCAGTGTGTCCCCTTCCAGGATGTGAAATAGACACTCAGCTTAATGAACTCCTTACTAAATGTCCCTGTGTTTTATGGCTGAAGGAGTTCAGGATATACACAGACACGTTTACTTAGCTGAGATTAAAATGTCTGGTTATTATCAAAATTGGATATTAAAAATAACATTTTCCAAAATAAAAGCTGCCTCACAGTTGCATTTACAGTTCATTGGTTGACACAGATATGTAAAAAATGTAATGAATACAGACTTTGAATGTCAATGTCAAATTTGTTAAGGGTTACTATGCCGCTTGTGTTCCCGTTCAGGGCTGTAGCCAGGCTTCTGTGTGTTTTTATGTATCTGTGCATAATGAGCCTGCAAACAAACATAGACGTGGGCTAGCCGTGTCACCAGTGGGTCTCGCAGTGACAGATGGTGATGGGCTGGGGGCGAGGAGAGGCTGACAACATCTTAATGTCTTTCTGTATGTGTGTGTTTGTATGTTGTGTTTGAACGTCCTTGTGAGATGCTTTTTGAGTTTAAAAACTTTGAGGATTTACAAACATTTAGGATGGTGTTGGAAAATGAAGTGAATTCAGTCAGTGAAAACAGTAGAAGGATATGTGTGTGTGTGTGTGTGAGTGAGTGTGTGTGTGTGTCTGTGATACAGAGGATGGGAGGGAGAAAAACAGAATTTTAAGTGTATGATCATGTCTGTTTAATCTGTGTATGAATGCACACATTACCCAACTAAATGGATCTATGTGTACATCTTATATCATGTCTGTGTGTATATTTGTTTGTTTCTGCCAGCCAATGACAGCCATGCCAGAAAGCAGTCAGACTCCCAGACGTCAGCGGCCGGACTACCTGGCTGACTTCACCAGTGGCAGCAGTGGCAATAACTCCTGCTCCTCCTCAGATGAAGAAGAGGAGGAGAGGAGGAAAGCAGGAGGAGGAGAGAAGAGGGAGAAGAAAGTTTCCTATGACCTCGGGGAGAGCAAGGAGAAGAACTTGTCTGAGCGCTCAGGTAAACCAGTACAAAAGTGTCTGACGATGTCTTCATTAGGAAGCCAGACTGTGGGGGTTTGACAGAGACCTCGTTTCCTGTAATCCTTCTTGTTTGCTTTGTTGTTGTTTTTGCTTGCTTGCCCGTCTTTCTGCTTTTCTTCTCTGTTTCCTGCCCTGTTTGTTGATTTCATTTTGGAAATCTTCCATCTGATTGCAGCGGATAGCTTAATTTCAAAACAAACTTTTTTTCAGATGTGCAAATTTGCTCACACAAATTCACATTTTTAAGTTTCTGTCTCCTTTTTCCATCTTCTCTGACTCCAACAGAACAAAGTGCAGACGTGAGATATATGTTAACGCATATAATGATGCTACAGGGACATTTAAATTGATCCTGTGATGCTACAAGCACGCGACACCCTTCCCTTGGACCCTTTTAAATATTACAGTTTGAAATATATTCATAGTTGTGCAGACCACTTTTACATATACATGGAAACATACTTTTTCAAAATACAAATGTAGAGTTTTGCTTTGATCAGTACCTATAGTGCAGCAAGCTGAAGGTTGAGATGGAGGAGCCAGCAGGCGGCACATTACAGATCTTCATCAGCCTGCCAGTATGTACAGTGGGGCAAAAAAGTATTTAGTCAGCCACCAATTGTGCAAGTTCTCCCACTTAAAAAGATGAGAGAGGCCTGTAATTTTCATCCTAGGTATACCTCAACTATGAGAGACAAAATGAGAAAACTAAATCCAGAAAATCACATCTGATTTTTAAATAATTTATTTGCAAATTATGGTGTAAAATAAGTATTTGGTCAATAACAAAAGTTCATCTCAATACTTTGTTATATACCCTTTGTTGGCAATGACAGAGGTCAAACGTTTTCTGTAAGTCTTCACAAGGTTTTCACACACTGTTGCTGGTATTCTGGCCCATTACTCCATGCAGATCTCCTCTAGAGCAGTGATGTTTTGGGGCTGTCGTTGGGCAGCACAGACTTTTAACTCCCTCCAAAGATTTTCTATGGGGTTGAGATCTGGAGACTGGCTAGGCCACTCCAAGACCTTGAAACGCTTCTTACGAGGCCACTCCTTCGTTGCCCGGGCGGTGTGTTTGGGATCATTGTCATGCTGAAAGACCCAGCCACGTTTCATCTTCAATGCCTTGCTGATGGAAGGAGGTTGTCACTCAAAATCTCACGATACATGGCCCCATTCATTCTTTCCTTTACACGGATCAGTCGTCCTGGTCCCTTTGCAGAAAAACAGCCCCAAAGCATGATGTTTCCACCCCCATGTTTCACAGTAGGTATGGTGTTCTTTGGATGCAACTCCGCATTCTTTCTCCTCCAAACACGTCTAGTTGAGTTTTTACCTAAAAAGTTACTATTTGGTTTTCATCTGACCATATGACATTCTCCCAATCCTCTTCTGGATCATCTAAATCTCTCTAGCAAACTTCAGACGGGCCTGGACATGTACTGGCTTAAGCAGGGGGACACGTCTGGCACTGCAGGATTTGAGTCCCTGGCGGCGTAGTGTGTTACTGATGGTAGCCTTTGTTACTTTGGTCCCAGCTCTCTGCAGGTCATTCTGAGACTGCCAAGGCACACNATGTCATATACAGTGGGGCAAAAAAGTATTTAGTCAGCCACCAATTGTGCCCTAGGATGAAAATTACAGGCCTCTCTCATCTTTTTAAGTCGGAGAACTTGCACAATTGGTGGCTGACTAAATACTTTTTTGCCCCACTGTATATGACATCCCCTCCCAGTGAAATTAATGTTTAATGTCAATACCACTGTCAGAAATATCCATTATAAGCATTCATTTTTAATATTTGGTTGCCAAAAGCAGTATGTTTCTTTGTTTGATCTGCATACTCATCAATGCCTTTTCCCTCCATGTGTTGTAATATCCCCCAATCCTTTCTCCGTGTCTTTTTGATTAATTGATTTGTTATTTCTGAATACATAACCAGACTTCAAAACAGAACAGTGCCTCTTTCTTGTGTATATTTTCTTTGGAACTTGACTCAACTCATCAAGTGCGTCCTTAATAGTCTTATCATAATTATCTCTATTTATCAGCTTCTCACCATCTTTATACTTTATGACTATTATTGTCAACCTTCTTCTGTCCTCATTTAAACCCTCCACATTTCTCTCTATTCGGCCTCTCTCTACCAAAGTTGTTTGGTATAGAAATGAAGTTCTCTTCATTGCAAAGTCTCTCCATACCTTGAGGTTCAGCTGAAGCTAGATCCCTCCAGGTACCAGACCGGCATTGGCATTTATATGCATGCAATGACTTCTACCCCACATACAAACATGCATGTGTCTCAGTATATTGCAAAACAAGTTTGTGTGTATGTACTATACTATATGTTCCAATGTGTATCCCTGAATCTAAATAAATAATTTCCCTGAAGGAAAGTAAACCAAAATATTTGGGCAGCAACTGTAATCAACTTTGAAGCCTCTCCATCACTAACTCTGACAGGAATATATAGGAAGAGGACAAGAGAAACTGAAAAGAGTGTCTAAATGTAAATAAATAAAAATGACACTGTTGTGTTGGTTTGATTTGCTTCTAAAAGCTCATGTGGACAGCACAATACATATTTTCGAAGTGAATGACAGTGGAAAAGCTCTGCAGAGATAGAAGAAGGACATTCTGTCAGACGTTCCTACAAATCTGAAGGACAGCAGCACACTTTCCACATTATTTGCGCATCCTTTCTTGCCTCTGTGGACAGAATCTTAATAGAAACGCATGTGTATTTTTTTTTTTGGGCATGTGCTTGTCTACAAGTGTTTGCATATTGTGCGTGTTTTTGTGTGAGGCTCTGCAGGTGTGTGTGTGTGTGTGTGTGCCTTTATACCTGCTTTTAGTTTGTTGTACCGTGGTCCATTTGGTCTCACACAGTAAGAAA